AAAAAAAACGGAGTTAAAAAAAACCGAGCTTTTGCTGAAGACAAACCAGAAATAAATGTCATTTAGGTTGAGAGTAGGTACTAAATCTGTCGTATTTCCGCTAGGGCTTATTGTCTTCAACCTGAGTCCCTCTAAAACATTGAACATGTTTTATTATAAACGGTCTATTGATCTACCACAGTTTTACTGAACCGTACTTCCAACAGCAGTCACAACAATTTCGTTAAGCAGTCTGTCAACTGATACTGGTTGGTATTTTGGTTTTTGTTGGCATCTGTCGGCGTCGTATGAGTGCACAAGACTCGATCGGTGAAAAACGTGAAGCATATGTCCATAAAACAACTAAACTAGGCGAATTTCTACAGTTTTTTGGTGATTTGCAAAACAAGAATTATTAAAATATATTAAGAAGGAATTCTTTACGGTTGAAATAATGTAGATTTGAAGAAAAAGTTAAAACGTAAATTAAGCATAGAATTTACCTTTCCCGCTAAGCCTGTTTTATTGTTTGGTATATAAAAGACATGTCCGGATGTTCGCTTGGTTACGTCAACCAGTTTTGAGTAAGCTGTATGATATAAGTCCATAGTACAGCCAGTTCCCACAGAAGGTTCCAGAAGAATAACATAAATCTAAAATTTTAACAATTGAGTAATCATACTAATGCAATACCGTTATTGCTGCAGTTTATTAAAGTAAGCAAGAAAGTTAAGTGTCAAATTATTTGTCATAGAGCTGTTGATTTTTAAAAACCTGTTAAAGTGATAATTACCGGAGCTCTCCAATAAGTATTCAGGTGAAATATAGTTTCAAATTCGTCTTCATCATTTGGCAGTGCATCAGTAAAGACATAAATTGGTGAACGGTTGGTAATCAAAAACGATGTTAGTGACATTTCTATCGCCGTGAACACCGAGTCTTCGCACTTTCTGGTATCCTCCAGAGATACGTTATTCAAAGCAGAAATAACGTCATCAATTTTCATTGTACTGAGCGTCTTTACAATCTCTGCAAAAAACCATAATTTGAAATCTCCAGCCAATGTTCAGCTTTGCAATTAATGGTTTAATTATTCTGAAAAGTCATTTATTGCTTTCATTTGTTTATGTCATAAAGCATACTGTTTATAAAGATTCTATTTCCATAAAATAACTTTTACATGTACTCCAAAAGTGCTGCTCTTACTGTTATTGTTGAACAATATTAAAGCGAATCGTTTGAAATAGTCTCGATCTACAGCCTGGTAATAATTGTAAATATTCCACAGCTGTTGATTCAACTGCTTTTTAACAACGTTTTCCATTGAAGATTTTATCCGAACAATAAGAATTAGTGTTGGATGGTCAGTGTTAAATCCGTAGCCAGCTGGTTGTATACATTTTACTAAAATTAGTAAATGTCGTTGAAATTATAAAAAAAAAAAGAACAAACTTACATAAATTTTTGCAAGTTAACATTTTTGATTTAGTATCAAGAGTAAAAATTATTATTTTGTTAATTGTCATATACCATCTTCACAATGTACTCCTGAAAAGCCACGAGAGCATATGCATGTAGAACCATCTATTGTAGTTCCACCATTCATACACAATATCCTTTCACAACGACTTCCTGAATAAAATCCTTGGCAATAGCAATAATTTGTTCCGTCTGAGTTTTGCAAAAGTTTGCCACCATTCTGACATTCTTTCGGTCCAGGTTCAGGAGATGGTTTAGAGGTTGGACCCGAAGGACCAGCTGTAAAATTTCTCTGTTACTGCTTGCCTTGAATGGCTTAATATTGTAAAAAAGAAAAACCTACACTGCATAATGAAAAAACTAGGGTATATTTTGTAGACTGTTCACTAATTAATTGTTTGCTTAAAATTTATCTTTCAAGATTCTTTTTTTTCACGGAGTATGGACTTGAAAAAAAAAGTGACTGAAAAATTGGCATACGTAAGCAGTTAAATTGTCCAATTCTTCTGAACCTATTGCCCCAGAAGTCAATGCCGTCAACTCGGTAATAATAACTGCCACTTGTATCGGTACAGAAAAAGTGCTCGATGAAATATTCGTATGCGCAGTTGTAGCGAACCAGAAGCTGCTGTGGACGTGCCATAACCTGAAATTAATGCTGTAACACTGGAATTAAAACATGTTGGAAAGCAACAGCATAAATAATAAATCAAACGAACATTGAAGTTTTCGAAAACTGTGACTGTGTCAAGACTTCCAGGGCTTCTCAGATTTGCTGCATGAATGACAAAAGTTGTTGGTTGATTAGCAGTCGCACTTTTTCCAGGGAAATCATTTCTATTTGACGCAAGAGAGCCGTTTTTGGTTGCAAATCCACCAACAGTCAATAAATTGGTCACTGCCTGTAGGTAAAAAAAATTAGCTGCTGTGTATTTTGCTGGTTAAAATTACCCGTTTGAAAATGTTCAAAACAACTTTTCTTCACAAGTGGTAAATTTGTTCGACAAAAGAAAGGTGTCAACGTTTTTGTTTTCTGTTTTACAACTCCATTCCATTGCTGAATTTTGTAATGTATAACTTTTAATCAACCCTTAATAAATTTAACGAAACTGGGAAAGAATGGTTGTAAGACGGATGTAACGATTGATTCGCATACCCTGACTATAACAAAACAGGAAGCTGAACCGCTACTTGAGGCTTGAACAACATAAACACCGGGCTGCTGTGGTGCAAAAGTTGCGTCGTAAGACCGTCCTGCTGGACTCACAATTTCTTCGACTGGACTAATCTGTTTTCCTAAACTTTTACCATGCGCAATATTTTAAATCAAAATTAGTTTTAATGCTAATGGTGTAAAATCTATATCACTTTAAAGAAACTATTTGTTTTGAATAACGCAGGATTTCAATGTTCGTTGATTGTGGCTTCAATTTTACCGGTTCTCAAGTATTTATTGAACGTTAATTTGTTGCAGACGAAGGCATAGTTCTGTCAGCAACCAAACAGTCATTTTTTAAAAAGTCATTGTTTTAGATTATAATCAAACATAACAGAAATTACCTGACATGTTGCGCAGTGTAAATTTTGGATAAACTTTGGCATTGGCTTCAATAATTATTGTAATTTCATACATATCTTTATCAAGCACTGTTGTCATTGAACTCGAACAATCTTCTAGCATTATTGCATCTGTCATTACTCCCTCAAATTATAATTTCAAAACACTTATACTGAGATAAGGTTTTTAAATTTATTCGGTCAGCTACTCAACCACATGGTTTCACTTATTATACATTTTCATGTAACAAAAAACTTCACTGACAACATCTGAGGAAGGTGGGGCTGGTTGAACATCTGGATTTGTTGCTTCACAGATCGCTGTAACAGATAATGTTAATTTATCAAAAGATATGCAGTAAATAATAATTTGATAAAGTATTACTAAAAATTTTTTAGAATAAAATATTAGCTATTTCAATTATAAGTATCAGCAAGAACAAAAAAGAAAAGTGAAAAAAAAAATTCATACGAAATTCGCAGTTAACTCCTGTATATCCTGGCATATTGCAGTCTGAATTGACAGAAACCAGCGAATGAGATGAGAAAGCTGCCTCACCTAACGGGACAACATAAGCCTCGTTTTTACTGCTCATATTCCAAAAATTTTCTTTTGTTTTAATTGGCTTTTTCGGTTCCCATGTTTGATAAACTTAAAAAAAAGAATCGTATTTTATCGTTATTTTTAGTATTGCCAGTGAATAAATTTTCTGCTAGAAGATGCGAGAAATTCTGAAAGCAGTAATAAAATTAAATGCTGTTAAAAAATGTAGAAAAGCTGTCATTGATCAACAATCAACTGTAAACATACAATTGTAATAACTGAGTATAACTTTGCTTCTTTTTGTCTACTTCAACAGACATAGTTAATTATACATTGAAGGCTACTGTTTAAACAGTAACGCCAAAAATTCAAATTGATTCAATATTAAATATGCAAAATACTATGCATTTCTTTTCTAAACTTAAATTCAAATATGCTTAACAATTATACAGTACTGCAACTCAAAAGAAAAAAAAAGCAAAAACAGTCAAAAAAGTTAGGAAAAGTTGAAAGTTAAGCAGTAAATTGATTTGTCAATTAATGTTAACTTGTTTTTGCTAATTTTTATACTGCTATTGAGTTTGCAAAAATTGCCTTGTATAATAAAAATTAACATGCCTCGTTTGACAGCTGCAGTTGTTGGATCATCGGTGTCTCGAATTTCTGGAAACAGTTGTTTTCCTTTAACAGTTTCAAATAACAGCAGCAGAAAACACACTTGAAGCTTCATTGTTAGAGCGCTGCTGATTCACTGTGAATGTAAAAATCGTTGTCGTTGAATTCAATAGCAAAAAAAAAAAAAAATAATAATAATAATAATAATAATTTTAGATAACAGTACAGCACAGAATTTGGATTTACGACCTTAGATATCGGTTGTAAAAATTCATTTTGTCATTTTTTTACCGACAAATAAAATTATATAACTGACAAGGTAGAAAAAAAAAGAAATTAAATTCTTTTCGCTTTTCCTTTTTGTTGTTTTAACATTAAAACAATATAACAACAAAAATAGATTTTTCAAAAACAATGCAGCATACTGTAGTGCAAATTTTAGCTTTTATAACATTAATTATGTTAGTCAGTGAAAACAATTTTTTAGCATTA